TTCATCCCTTCATCCCCTCCCAACAAGCAAGCCAAAAAAAAAAAACACACATCCCAATTCCCAAACAGCCACCCAACCCAGCTCCCATATCCATATCCCATTCGCAACGAGCACTGTGTGAAAAATGCAAAAACCAAACAAACAAACCCCACGCCGGAAAAAAAAAGCCCACAGAAACACGAGCGAGCCAGCTAGCCGAGGGAAAACCAACAAACCAAAAAAAAAAGTCACGCCCTCCAAACCCAGAATCCTACAAAAACAAATATTGCCCCTTATACATACAAACAGTTTTCCCCTTTCTGTTAGGGTTTCGTCAACGAAAGAAAGAGAGAGAGAGAGAGAGACAGACAGACAAGACAGAATAAGAAGAAGCGAGAGAGAAGACAACGTGTTGATCTAGATGGGTTTCGAAAATTACGCTATGCAATAAAGCAGCCAAAAAAATTCCTTGCTCCCATCTCAAAAATATACATATCCTCAAACACCATACACCAGATCAAGACATATTTGGTCTCTCTTTATATGATCCCCCCAGGTGGTTCGTATCCCGACGAATTCTGATACGATCGCCCCAAATTCCCATCTAGACCAGCACTTCCAGGAACATCTCCAGCTTGACCTTCGGTATTTGATGTCAATTTCCGTAACATAAACATTGGCTTCTTGCCTTCCTTGTCTAGTTGCTTGAAGAGTATAAGTGGCTTTTCCATCATGCCCAGACATCTTTCTTGGTCCCCGTAAACAATGTATAAGGCATATTGTTCCCAGGGTGCGTTGATGTTGTATTTCTTCAAAGCTGCCGGTAGGACCTTGTAACATGGATCCTCCATACTGACACGAAATGACTTGAATATCTCCACCGATGCCCCACCACCTCCACCACCCGAAGGTGTGTCGAGTGCTGGGGTTTGGGCTCCTCGTCGTGATGGAGCGGGTTTTGTTGAATCACGGGAGTAAGTTGATGGTTGGTAATCGCCGTCGAAAGTACTGCGAGATGGTGTAGGTTGTTGATCTGAACGACCGTTGTATGATCGTGCACCAAGGGTAGAGCCATTAAATGTTGGGGGCGAAGTTGGCGAAGGTTGGTTGGGCGATGGATAACCAGGTGATATAGCGCCGCCAGAGCCACCATTGGCAGCTAAAAGGGACGAAGATTGTAGGACTGCCCTTTCAGCAGCGTTGGCAGGATCCAATGTCTGTTCCATGGATCTGTCGTGGGTCAATTGTTGGTATGTCGGCGAAGCATTTTTCGATGGCTCAAAGAATAGCTTTTTCGTAGAAAAGTTTCGTGATAGGCCAACCCCGGACTGACTTGAATTGGGAGTTGGTGCAGGCGGTGAAATGGTGTTGGTCGTTTCGTAGTTGTAGGAATTTTGGTTTGATTGAGAGGACGGGTACGGGAGGGGTTGCCCTTCTTTGGCCAGGCGGAAAACGGGTAACAGATCCTGCCTCAACTTCGCATACTCATTTGTTATCCTTCGCAGTTCCGTTTCGGCGATGGTCATCCGCTCGTCTCGCAATCGCAGTTGTTCCACCAGCTGCTTGATGTCTTTCAATGTTGCTGTGGCGTATTGGGCCTCGGCGTCCGCAGCTATCCTTCGCATTAGCATCTCGAATTCGCTCCCCACAGCCAATACTCACATAGAGGGACATAGTGATCGCTTTCTATAGGTATGTCCTGTTTCATCTTGATATCATAGACGCTTTTCAACATCGTCAGGCGATGGCCCACACTCGTCACCCCCATCTGCTTCAAATCGTCGTGCTGCAGTGCGACCAAGGCCTCGCCAACAATTTCGTTTTCTGTTCCATATCAGCACCATGGTGAGAGGCTCTGTGGGATGGCTCTGTACCTAAGAATTGGTCTGCGTATTGGCGCAAGCCCAGGCTGCCTACAAAGTCGGCGCACTCCTCTGCGGTCCATTCTGTGATGATAGCCTCGGGTAGTCTGTCGCTGCTACCAGGAGCACCATATGTGGTCGGCGTGTGTTCGTTCGACGACAATCCATCGGATGAGGTTGGTGACAATTCCGAGTCTGTGGCCAAGACGGGCGAACTGGCGTGGACGCTGCGCTCATATTCGTCGTCGGCGTCAGACTCGGGGTAGGCAGTGCCAGACTCGAAGGCCATGCTGGGCGTGGGCGTCGATGAGCGGAGGGAGCTGGGAGCTGGGAGCTGGGAGCTGGGGCAGAAGGATTCGGGTATGGAGGTCGTGAGAGCCGTGAGAGCCGCTCGTCAGGGCGGAAGACGTGGAGATGTTCGTCACGCACGACGCACGCAGGTTGAAGGCTTGGGCTTGGGCTCTGGCTCTCAAGTTGTTGCAATGGATCCTGGCCTGGTGGGCCCTCCGCTGGGATGTCTTAGCGACGAGGTAGCGCGAGCGCGAGTACTGGTAGCGCTTTGACCACCCCACCCAGGTGCGGTGGCCCTCTGCTCTCCCCCTCTGCTCTCGCTCGCCTCCAATGAATCGCCGTTGCCCCTTGCTATTAATATAAATGTACCGAAGCGCCAGCCAATATCACCCCAACTCAGGGCACGGCATGTCTGCCACGCTGACTATGGTCAGCATGACAGAAATCTACGAGTAGCGTATCTACGTAGTAGATATCTATACAAATTTAAGATCAGACAAAATTCAGGACGTGGTCAATTCAGTGCTTCACAAATCCTCAGATCCTGAGTACCGCGATGAGTGAAGTACGTTCCCAAAGGTATCGCGGTCTCGCTTTTCGCCACTTCATCCATACACAAGCTCAGGGAAACCATCTCACAATAACATAATAGTATTGTTATAATTATACTAAATTCCATCTTTTCAAATACCACGCCAGAGCAATGCATGGCTACAGAGAACTTCCAACAATAAACAACAATTTTGACGCCCCACGAGTATACAGAAGATGGAAAGTCCACACAATATGGTATATCCATTTGTTCCACGCCACCCCATTTCCAAACGCCAGAAAAACAAGAACCCTCATTATCATTCAAATCATATGCAATCCCAAGAGCTACATCTCTCACCTCGATGCCTGTGCTCTCATTTTCCGAGCAAGCCAATCTCCAAGCATACCGTCCAAACGCTGCAAGACACGTTAACATTACTTGATGAGTACAATCCAGGTTGCAACTTACATTTGTGATGTCTGCTAATTTGGCATTTTCTTCACGGAAGAGATTCCCCGTGATCGGATGATCAGGACCAGCAGGCACGACGCCTGACTTGTCATAAACCACGACCAGAAGGTCTTTGATATCAGCATCGTCATCAAAGAAAGTGCGAAGATGGGAGTCACTCCACGTGGGTGTGGATGCAGACGTCGAGGAGCTTCCTGTCTCTTTCTTGTCATGTACATCATCGGCATCTATAAGTTCTGGTGATGGCGACGATCTTGGTGATGGCGGCTCTTCCTGGCTCGAGTTGTCGATCACGAGTGGAGGTAGATATGACCGAGGAGGTGTAATGGGCGAAACCTGAACTGGAGATGCTGACAGCCGATCAGTTGTATTGTCATTCGTAGAAATATAGCTGTCAGGAAAGCTTCCTGGAATTGGTCGAGATTGCTGGCTATTTTCTCGCGTAGGCTCCTCAATGGGGGAGCTTTCTGGCGTGGAATCAAAATCGTCTAGCTCGACTCTCTCTTTGGCTTTTTTCGCCTTGACAGGTTTGGGATCCGATGTTGAGCCACTCGCAGAGCGAAGTATCTTGGTAATTGCACCTACGGGTTTCTGCTCTTTTGGTGCCGTGAGGATGGGAGCGGGAGTTCTGGAGATTTCAGCCGAAGGTTCTCGTGGTTGTTGTGAGGCCTCAGCGACGGGCTCGGATTGCACCAGGCGCATCGATGGCGCCTGTACCGATTCTGCAGGCGGAGCTCGCTCAGGGGCGGGAGCTTGTTGCGGTTTTTCCACAGGCTTGGCATCCTTGACAGAGGCTGGCTGTCGACTGGGGGACATTTCTGTACGAGGCTGTTTTTGCAATTTACTTGGTTGTTTTTGTGGTGTGACTGAAGTCTGTGGAGTCTCTGAACTGTATCCAATTTCGTCCGAATCCTTACTTGGAACAGGAGATGATCTTGAGTGCTCATTCGACTTCTTGCCAGCCATCATTTCTTCAACTTCATCTTCGATTGCTCTCGATTTCTTGTCTTTTCTTTTGAATAGACCGCTGAGCATTCCGGGTTTCTTGTCTTTATCCTTCTTATCCTTCTTGTCCTTTTTATCTTTGGCTTTATCGGAGGCGGAGTCCTTTTCAAGTTTGTCAAGACTTGGTCGCTTACTGAATTCCTTGGAATCGTTCGAAGTACGTGTTGAAGTGCTCGAATCATCGCGGAGCAAGTTGGGTGTGAGAGTGATTTTCCGGGTCTCCACAGAATCGTCCTTGAAAAACGAATCTGTATTTCTGACCGTGCCGTTTCGCGATTTGCTCTCCACCTTTCCATCTAGAATCTCCTCACTAGTCCGTTCACCGTCAGGATTACCTGCTGAAACGCCTTCTCCGCCTTTGTTGTCGGGGTCAGCCTTATCGGACCTGACTTCTTGGACTGTAGAACGAGCTTTTGGTGGTTCGCCAGTGTTAGCCTCATCTTGTTCTGCAGATGAATCCTGTTGTTCAGCGTTCTGGGCTTGCTCCTCATTAGATCTGTAGAACTCCCCTTCACCATCCTCTTCATCAGTGGAATAATCCATATCCGACGCCTCCACATAGGTCGGCGGAGCAAAAGTTACAGCTTTAGCATTCCGTCTCTTTATGGCCTTTTTGAGTGGATTTTTAGATTTTTCTGCTTGATCGCCCAACATTGTAGATGTAAGCTAATTTTGTTAGTTTAAAAAAAGGACTGATACGTGGTGGGATAAATAGCGCACATCTATGTTGCGGTGTTTGTTTAAACGGGCCAGTCTTTCGGTGGGCGTTTCTATATGTTCCGCAGGTAAGTATCCTAGAAACTTCCGTTAGTTCAACATTCGATGTCGTTGCGTCGCTATCCCACTGTGACTAACCAATACTACTATCCTTGACTACTCTCACAAGCCACCAATAGCTGTTACTATCATCCAGGAGTACCATTGTATCGCCCTTTGTGGCATTTGCCTGACCCTCGACCGTTGCGACGAATGTATGGAGAGCGTAGACGAATTCGAAATCGATGTCCTCTAAATCACGTAAGCATTCTCCACCCCACCCTGAATCAAGAAATCTGGAATCGGTATTGTAGGGAATTTCAAAATCATCATCTTCATCGGAGCTTTCGCTTTCATAAGGCACGATCATCCCGTTATCAAAACTCATATCCATGTGAATCCCGTTTCCTGAAAGCTGCGTGAGAAGCGTACTGGAGCGTGTCTGCAGTGTGTCATCGGAGAACGGGTCCTGGAAGGATATCTGGTGATAGGGGCTTGAACTTCCTCTCACAATCATGGGAGATGGCGGGTCAACATAATTGCTATGGTCATAATCGCTGAAAGTATACTCATTTCCCGTTGTGCCGGCCGAATACTCACTCAGAAGATGATGATTCTGTTGCACCTTATCGCGTTGCACTTCGCCACTGTCGGATTGGGCTTGTGGAGAGCACAACGGGAATCTTGTAGGCGTCACCAGATATGGCGATGAACCGTTGTCGCACGCTTGTGAAGACGGAGGTGGAGTGGCTGGTTCACAGCTGCTAAGAGAAGTAGACCTGAGAGGCCATGTTTTTAGAAGGGAATACCCACCATCGTCGATTGACGGGGAACTCGAGATCTTGTCCATCAAATCGTCGTCCATTCCATCGTCACCCTCGGCATCAGCCATGTCTGCATCCTCGGCGGTAGATACCATCGTGCTAGCACCATTTTGCGAGACTGCCGAAGTATCTTGCTTATTTGAGCCATTCAATTTTGTCGTCGCTGAGCTAGCCAAGTCCTCCTCTGCCCTACCATAATCCTGCATCTGCTGAATCTCGCCCGAGGTCCATTCCTTTGATACTCGTGGGCTGCGACCGTTTTGTTCTGCTGCTTCTGCTGCGACTTCCCGCAAGGCTTCTGCTTGGTGTGGAGCCGGAGGGCCAGCTCCCAAGGGGGCCGCGTTCGTAGGCTTTCGAGAGTGATCCTGCGCCGAGGGGGCTGTCTGGTCTTGGAGATCTATGGAATCTGTCCAATATTAGCGATCACTCTTTGGATGGATTGTAGGACGAATCGGCAGCGCTTACCTGCCCGGATAATTTCTGGTCTTGTCATTGTGCGTCGAGGGTCATGGATTCCTGGAGTTGATAGGAAATGGAAATTTCAAGGTGCTGTGGTGAAAGAGATTATGAATGTAAGTAGCTGTCGGCGCGCAGTATCCAAGGTCACGGGTGGTTGTTCCTTTGGCGAGCCTTCTCCCCAATTCACTGAATTTCTTGAGCGGATCTGCAGACAAATATCCGATGTCGCGCGGGAAAGGAATGACAGCGTCTTTTCTCGATTGCCCTCAGGCAAAATATAGCGAGGAAGGGTGGTGTGCAGGTGGTACTCGGTACCTAGGTAGCAAGTGAGTGAAGGGCGGAGGCACCCGCACGAATCGCCGGGGGAGGCTTCAGGAAGGTCAAAGGAAAATCAATTGACAATGGACGGATAGTCGAGATGGCGGATGGCGAGAGAAGGTTGGGATGGGTTTGGATGAGGACTAGGCCAGTGCCAGTGCCAGTGCCAGTGGTGTGAAAGGAGAAGATGGGGAGTGAGATGGTGGTACAGTAGTGGTTGTGGTAAATTTAGTTTGGCTTTGCATGGCAGACTGACAGATAGGTACGAGTAGCGTGTAGGTAGCGTACGTTGCCTGAGTACTTGGTGCGTCTCGTACTGGTAGGTGTACTCAGTAAGTACTTGTACCTAGGTACCTCCTAGGTACCTACAGTAAGGGACTCCACACCAGTAATTGTTTCCAGCCCCATGGCCCTCCCTGTTGGTCTGCTGCACTTGAAACGATCATGCCACGCTTTTCACCACTCCAGTGACTCCATATGGAGCGTACCTAGGTACGTACCCAGGCTAGCAGGCTACCCTACCTAGGGACCTCCGGACGTGAGTAGTGTAGTACTAATTTCGCAATCCACTTTGGCACGTGCAGGTGCAGGTGGGTTTGACGTGCAGTTGCGGCTCGAGAGCCAGGTATTGTCTGTACCGAGTACTTTCTACGCTGGTGTACAGCTTTCTCTCGCTTACGGAGTACAGCGCAAAGGAAAGACGACAGACCATTATATAGGAGGAAAATGTAATTGGGATCCTTAGAATGCAATATTTCATCTACAAAACATTGCACCCCCTTTGAGAACTTTTGGAGCCACTATTCGTGCTTTTCTGAAATCAATCACCCTTTAATTGCGCTCATATAAAAGTGGTGAGCGGGCCACTGGGGCCTCAGTGCTCTACCCGGAAATGGTACGCACATACGCCCCGGTATAGAAGCCGGCGCCGACACGCTCATCAACTGAAAAATAATAATGGAGATCGTAGTTGGAGGAGCCCACCAGTCTGGCAAGCCAATACGGAGTGTGCGTTTATGCGTGCATGCCAACATGATTGAAGAATTACGTCAGCAGAACTTCAATTGAGTTTACGGAACCAAAAGCAATCATTGGCGGAGAATAAAAACACGTGATACGGCGCCTTCTCTTAGCGCGTTCTCTTCCGACGCGTCGGGTGCTTTTCAGGCGTCATAGCAACTACCTCAGGCGTGCTTCCGTAGATCAACTTCCAGCATTACCACCTCCAGTACCTACACTGACGTTCCACCATCACTACGAGTACGCTCCGTACCCGCCCCATACTATAACTGGCGCCCAACACGATCAAAGACACGCATGACGCACATCTTCTTCTTCTTCTACTATAGGTATGGACAAGATGGGCGCAATCTTTGACCAGTGTGTCATTGCCTTTGTACCAAATCGGGAGCTCCCCGACTCACTAATAGCTGATGTGAGCCGCCTATCTATGTCCTCTAGTTGAATCCGACATTTACTAATGCGAGGTTTAGTATCGGAAGAAGATTGAGGGCAATGGAGGAACAACCCCGAAGGCCAGGCGCGACGGAAGCATCAAACTGGAAGATGTCACCCATATTATCTCGACCACTGCTGATTTCCCCCAATACCGCGAGGCACGGGAAATGATGATCAATGTTGTCAGACCAACATGGCTGCTGGAATCCATCATGAGGAACAAGCCGGCCCTAACACGGCCACACACACCAGATCCAAATTTGATATTTCACAATGTCACGGTAACTTGCGCTGATCTACCAGAAGGTGACAAGGATGCAATTGTTGGGGGTGTTCTGGCCATGGGGGGAACGGAGTCGAGCTCTTTGACAAAGGTGGTTACGCATATTTGTGCTCTAACCATGGATCACCCCAAGGTCGCGCTTGCACTCGAGAAGGGAGTGAATTGTAAGATTGTATTGCCTCACTGGTACGTTTATTCAACTCCCTAATGATGCTAGTATATGCTAACTTTGAATGAGGTTCCATGATTGCTTGCGCCTAGGAAAACGTATCAACGAGCTTCCATATTTACTTCCCGACCCTGAGATACTAAAATCAGAACCCGATGCTCGCCTGGATATACCCTCGTCGGAAATCATCAAAGGGGCTTCAACTCCTCGACCAGACATTCTACCTATGGCGACTGACTCTCCACGGCATTTAAATGTTTTTCAAGATAAAAGGCTGATGATATCCGAGGACCTGAACATAGGTGGTAGATTACGGAAAGTGATTGAAGACCTTGTCGTGGGAGGTGGGGGAATTATCACAACCTCGGTCCATAATGCAGATATGTACGTCTTCCAATGGCGTGGAGGAAGAGATTACGCCATTGCATCATACGCTGGTAAGGATGTTGGCAATCTTTCCTGGCTTTACTATCTCATCACGCATAATGAGTGGACGTCTCCTATGAAGAGGCTATTGCATTATCCCTTGCCGAAAGATGCCATACCTGGTTTCAAAGACCTCAAGATAACCTTGTCGAACTACGGCGGGGATTCTCGAACTTATTTGGAAAATCTCGTTCTAGCCTGTGGTGCTGAGTTTACCAAGAGCATGAAGGAAGATAATACCCATGTAATCACAGCACGGAAATCGGGAGAAAAATGTGATGCGGCCGCTGAGTGGAATATTGAGATGGTGAACCACCTTTGGATTGAGGAGAGTTACGCTAGATGCGAGATTCAACGGATCACAGATCCTCGATACACCTGTTTTCCACCGCGAACCAACTTGGGAGAGATCATCGGCCAAACGTCGTTTGATATGGAGACTCTTCAACAAGTTTACTTTCCGAAAGAACCTACACCTAGTCCAGAAAAACCTGGCCCATTGAAGCGACCTGAGATGAACCAAAAGGGACACAAGGAAAAAACCCCGGAGCTGCCTGAAGACGTTAATATGGATGACGACGATGATGTGCATGTTCCACCAGTAGTTATTCCAGCCAAAAAGTCGGGTTTACCACGTGGACGATCAAAATCCACGACGACTCTTCCAAAAGGAACTACAACCCCCATAGCCAATCGACGCGTCAGTGCTGGAAAGGAGATTGACACTCCGTCATCGACAAACAGCCGAAGCGCTAAAGACCGTGCTTTGACGAATCTGCATGGGATGGCACCTGATATTGCACTTTACGAAAAGGAGAAGAAGAGAAAAGGGTCGGTTTGGGGCGGGGAACGGGCTGCTAATAGAATCGACAAGGAGAGACAAGATGAACGCAACTCAAGTCCGGCGGTCAAAGAGCCACGCGAAAGAGAGGATTCCGAGGATGAGAATACTAACCCCAAGCGCCAGCGAACAGGATTACCACAGGTTAGTATGCGCCTTCTTGTGACGTCTTACGGACCATGGGTTGCAAACACAGCGAGAGAAGACAAAGATAAGGTAAACGTCGCGGTTGTTTGGGTATCTTGAAATCTTCATGCTGATTATTCCACAGAGAAAAATGCGCGAGCTTGGAGTTCTGGTCGTTCAAGATCCAATACAATGCACTTATCTTGCTGCCCCAAGAATGGTCAGAACTAAGAAATTTCTTTGCGCCCTTGCTACTGGACCGACCATACTACACACCAGTTTTATTGAAGCTTGTGGGAAGAGTTCCGTCTTACCCAATACTGAAGCTCACCTACTCAAAGATACGGAGAACGAGAACAAATTTGATGTCAAGCTGAAAGACGCGGTCGTACGAGCCAAAGCCAACAAGCGATCACTACTCCGACATGTCCCAATTTATTGTACCAATGATGTACCGAATGGGCCTGATACATTCAAATCCATCGTCCAGGCTAACGGGGGAATTTTCTCGCTCTACACCGGGAAAATTTCGCTGAAGAAGGTCGATCCTAAAGACGATCCCAATGGCCCGGAACCCGTGTATCTCATTACCGGCGAGAAGCCAGGTGATCGCAAACTCTGGCCGGGATTCGAAGCTATGGCAAAGCGAGCCAATATGATCCCAAGGATTGTGACCACAAGCTGGATCCTGGATGTTGGTATGGCTCAACAATTGATATGGAAAGACGAGTACCTCATCGACCCGTAGGCCATAAGTCATAGGGACAAGCTGAGAAGTTGATGTACTAGCTACTCTGTAACTTTTTTTCCGTTCTTTGGGAGTGGGAAGTGGCAATATGTAATGACAAACAATACCCGTGGAGTCTCAGTTCTTTTTTATTATTTCTTTTATGTTTCTTTTTTCGGGAATGGGAGGTTGGCCATGAGCTGTTTGCTTGCGAATACGATTTCTTTGTGTACTGTACCTACTGTACATAGCCTTTTAATGCGATGATTGATGATATTATACATACATGATTCTACCCACCCTACCCTATCCAGAACTCCAACCCAATGCTCCCCAAATCCCGCTTTCAAATATCAAAGATTCCCTGTCCAGCCCACCGCACATTTGGTCTCAAAAGAATTTCACACCTTGCTGGTCTTCCTGTCCGAAGACCTGTGCCTTGCCCCGTTTCACGAGGTGGTTCAAGGCTTTCTGTAGGAGATCCGGATCCATGTGGCGGAACTCTGTTGGTTCGAATGTGTTAGTGGGATGTGCTTAATACAAACTGTGAACGATGGGGAAAAGGGCCGGGAGGGGGAGGGGGTAAGTAGACCTTGGGAGATTGTAGCTTCGCTCTCGGTTAGTTCGTAGAGGGTCAAGACGGTATTCTTCTGCGCTGTTTCGTCGACCTGTATTATTTATTGGTAATTAGCATATTCCTTCACTCCCCATCATCTGGTCCATAACCCCCCCTTCCCACCCCCATCCCTTTCCAAAGGCAGAGAAAGACAAGAAGATAAATCAACAGGATAGAAAGAAAAGAGAAAAAAAAGAGGAGAAAATACCCAATCATAAACAACCCCCGCCCACTCCTCCACATTCCGCCACCAAACCCAACACACCAACCCCCCTTCCCCCTCCCCTCCTTTCCCCTCCCCTCCTCTCCCAGTATTAGAACTAATCCACTCCACCCTCCCCTCCCTCCGCATCCCCTCCAGCACCTCCCGCGCATCCTTCATCTCCAACCGTCGTCCAAGAACTTTATTATGGAATAACTCCGTTTCCAACGCGTCGATCAGGGAGAGCTTGAAGATCCTGTGGTGCCGACAGTACGAGAGGATCAGGTTGGACCATTTGGTTAACTGGGCGTGTCGCGTTTGGAGGGAGGGTTGNTGTGGTGGGGGGTGGGGGGGTGGTGGTTGGGGGTTGGGTTGTCATGGTGGTTGTTGGGGTTTGGTGAGGTTTTGGGTGTGGGTTGGATTGGATTGGATTGTTGATTGCGGTAGAGGAGAGATTGGAGGATGGAGTGGTGTGGTTCTGATATCGAGGTCTTCGCGGGGCAACGTGGGTTTGAGGGGAGGGGTTCAGTTGTCAGCCTTGCAGGGTGGCCTGTGCTTACTGTACTCCATCTATTCGGGATTACTTCTGACCAAACAGAACGAACGGCTTGTGAAGAATACAACCTTGAAAGATTCACGAATCTCAATTCTCAAATATACTTCCAATTCGTCCAAAGCTTTGAGGAACCGCCGGTATATATACAACTCATCGCCCACCACAAGAATCGGAGCATTGATATGTACTGATCAAAGCAAAATTCCACTCTTCTCCAAAAGTTCAAGCCTTCAACGCCACATATAAATGCATGCCCCTAGGTCTCCGCAATCGACACCTGCTCCCCAAAACGCCTATGCTAAAAACCCGACGTAGAGTACTGTAAGCATTGCTTGCGCAATCCTGCCTATGTCCGAACATCCCCAAATAATACATCAACAATCTCATCTAGCATTGTGAAAGCAAGATGCACACTACTTTCGTTAGCATATCTAATCCATCAAGCACCTGGTGAAGGCAAGATCACAAGAAACCAAGAAAAGGGTATATAAAGAACCAACTCACTTCAACCTCGGATTATTAAATGTCGCGAAGATTCGTCGACTCGCAGCTTGAGCATTAACCCTCCCTACAACACTCGCTGCCAAATCTGGAATCAAAGTTGCAAGCATCAAACTTGCCTCAGTCCGGCTCTTGACCTTCTCTGATACGCTTCTTGGCTTCCCATCTTTCTTGAATTGACCACCAGGCCACATGGAATCTTTGAGTGTATTCACATACTTGATGATTGCTTCTTCAGAGATGATGCCTTTGACGTTATCGCGAACTTTCCGTTCGATGGTACCCCCTAATAACTGGTGGAGAACAACGACAACTGCTCGACCTCGTAACCAATTATTGCCACGATTAAGCTCAAAAACTTCCAGAAAGATGTCACAAATTGGTTTGACAAAAGGCTCAAGTTCTCGGTCCTCGAAAGCATTGAGTTCGGCTTCCGCTTCAGCTGCAGTGAGCGGATCTTCGCTAATGGCTGCTGGCATGGTGATTAATTGGCTAGTTGCAGCAGACAATAGATTTTGTCCGGCAACAGAAAGTTGATCCAATACAGGCAGGTTCCCAAGCAGATCTTCCATACCATCCGTGACAGAATTGTAAAATCTGGTCATGATGTCCGTCTTGTCGGTTTGATCATAGAGACCTTCAGTACCTGGGGCAATTGCACTCTGAGATAAGAAAGCACGCAGTTCTCGACTGCGACAAACATCTGGTAGAAAAAGGATCTCTCGAAGATAATTCTCCAGTGCCAGTCTTCGTTTGTGGAGAAAGTCACTTTGTAGCTTCATCACCATCCGTCGTCTTGGAAAGTCAAGATTTCGTACTGATGGGTATTTGATGCGCAGGTGCTGATGAAGTTCGTGGAATTCACTGTAGCGACGGGTGACAGTCCAGGTTGCTGCTGGCATCTGTTCGCCCGCTTTTCGCTGAACCTCAACGACATAAACGGCATACTCCCGGCCGTCGGGCTCTTTTCCTACCATAATAGATTTGATTTTGATGGTTGAGCGTCCATAGAGACTGTTATCACTCTCTTGAATCACATATTGCTGGCGCTGGAGCTCTTTACGTCGAATCTCCCTTTGTAGGCTTGCTTTTGACTTCCGAAGAATTCGGAGTTCTGCATTGTTATTGGTCAGCTCGGCTTTTCTCGTTAGTGAGTCAACAACTGCATCCTGAGCCTCAAGTCTATCGATATCGGTCGTGAGGGCAGTGATAGCTTCCATAAGGCCAAGATCCCCAGGAGCTGCTTCATGGACTTCCTCCTCCTCCTTATTTATGTCTTCCTCTGGATCATCGTGCTCATCTGACAAGAACTTTTGTTCATCGCCGAAGAGATCATCATCAGTAAAAACTCCAATTCTGGACGAAGTGTTGACAAGGCCAAGTGATGCAATACTTGGCTTCTCCGTTTTGTCGCCAAAGCCGAATAAATCAGCTCGCTTGTGGTCAATAGAACTTCGTGTGGAGTTGTTGCCGTTCGGTGAGGTAATGCTATGAGTCGAGGATTCAAGATCTTCACCGAACAATGACTTTCGGAGATCCTCCACATCAGGCTTGGCTTCCATGATATTGTTCAGAGCTGCTTCCATGGCTTCCACAACATTGTTGTCTGGCGCTCTACTGTGTGGTGCTTGATCTATGCTATGTATAGAATTGCCCATGCCATCGTTTTCAAACTCTTCGTCGTCAAACAATGGAGACGGATGATCATCGTCAAATGATCGCCTGGACTCAAATGAATTGTCTGGCGTACGAGGAGCTTCAGATCCTAGATCGTTAGTTGAAACAGCTGTACGGAGGAGATCCTGTCTTTTTGGAACTAGCTTTGCGGAAATTCTCGAAAGTGGTGCCGGCTTCCCTGAAATTACTTGGGCTGAAGCTGCTCGAACAGGGAGATTGGGCTTTTGGGCGGTGTCTATTCTTGATGGTCCAAGTGGTGACGGCTGTGACAGTTGCAAATTCGATGCTTCTTGGGAGGTCAGGCACTTGTAGAAAAGGTCCGACTTTCTGAAGTTGGCAAGGTGCTTTTCTTGCATTGACTCTAACGCCGCAGTCTGGGCTCGTAATACAGCTCTTCGGGCGAGAAAATATTGTTTTGGAGTTGCCTGTTTACCTGCCCTGAGAAAATCTCGGACTAATTGTTTTGATGCTTCCGAGACTTTGAGTTCTGGCTTCGACAAATATGCTTCATTGATCATTGCAAGATCTGTTCTAGCCGCGTCCGTCCAGGGAGCAATAGTTGCGGGTATCTCGTCTTCTTCAACAGACTCATCCTCTAATGGGTTTCGAAGCTCGTCAACCACCATCCAAAACTGAACCATGTGCATCAGATTTTGCCTGTCCATATATTCGATAAAATAGGACAGAGCAGAAGGGTCACGCAACAAATTAACTAAGGAAGCGTGCTCAAGTTTAGAGACTTGCGAGCCTCTCCGGGGTATATCTGATTGTGAGTTTCTCTCGCTACCAGCCGCCAAATGATTGACTCGCTGGTCCAATATGCGCTTGCCAATTTCTAACCGTCTTAGATATACTGGATCCTGGCCCTCCTGTATAGCGTCTCTTTTCAGCTGACTAGAAACCTCGCTTCGAAAGCGACGAGCATCTGAGAGGTTGTTGACCTTTCGAATAGCACGTACAAATTTCTCAAACCTGCGTTCATGATCTCCTGGTGAAATACGGGGAAATGGTGCAGTCCGTTGTGGCCGTGGAGCTGGAGACGCATGCTCATCTAAAGCCGCGCGTAGCTTTTTAACTGTTGATCTGTCCTGAAGCATTGTACGCCCCTAGAGTCTTGACATTAGTATACTCAATTTAGTATACAGAGGGAAGAGACATACGTAGGCCTCCATAACCTGGTTCCACGTATCAGGCTCAGCCAAAAGCTGCATCACGGGAGAGAGTACAGCGCAAGAAACTAGTTCTTGGATTAGGACACCCACAGCACGACTAGCGATAACCCTTTCCGGCAGCAATTTTGGTAGTAAATCCTTAGTGAGACCCCTCAAATATCCTTGCTGTGCCAACTTCGCATCTGAATACGCCAAAGAAGCCGCCGGGTGTAGTTTCCCCTCCTTGTATTTCCCAGCAATTGCCAAATCTAGCTCTTCCGACTCGGTAACCTGTCGGTTCAAGTGCTTCCCCCGCACCGCCCTCTCCGCCTCGTAGAAATCTTTGAAATGGGCTGTGAGGATTGGCACAAAACGAGTTGTCACAATCTCCGTAATATCCAGCTCGACGATAGCATCCAGCAGGTTCATGAGCGCAAGTCTGATCGTTTTGTCCACTTCGTTGATGAACACCGGGTTCTTGCTGATACTCGAGTACCACGTATTGACGAAGTCCCTCAATATAAACTCCAGGAGTTGGTCCAGCGCATTGGAAATCATGAAGGACTCGGGGTACAGTGGTTTCCAGTGGTATGCCTGCCGACTTCGCAATGCCGCAACTTCCTTATCCCATTCTGTCGCCACAAGGAACTTCGGTCCCCTGGGGCGGATTTGGCTGTTCCGTTCGCCATATTTGCTTCCTCGGGAGGTGGTGACGAGTAATCCGAGCAAACCCACGATGGGCAGGATGAGACCTAAGACGAAAGCGTAGCCCGCCCAGCGCAACACTGGCATCCAATTAACAGCATATCCCCAAGCAATAAATGTAGCGATACCTGCGAGAATCTCATCCCGTCGACTGAGGGCCATAATAAGAGTGACGGGAGAGAGGTGACTCGGGAGGCATATTGTTGTGTTTGGGTGGGAGCTTTTGAGAGGTGCAGGGGCCGAGGGGAAGGGACATGGAAGCCCAGAGCGGCGACGACTCCAGCCGAACATTCACTTACTTGACTTTGGACTTGTATGAGATATGCCTCTCCCCTCGACATTCACCATTAAACCAAGACCAGTGATGGCCTGAAAGTACTCTGTATGTCTGCTTTTGCTTCAATAAAAATCCGAACATTCACGCACATCTGAGCTTGATACCGATGCCGCTTTTCAGCATAGAGCTTCACTCATGAAAAGGCTCTTCTACGATATGCTATGCGAAAGATGTTTCTTGAAGGATTCTGATTATTCGTATCGGCAGTATATAAGCTACCAAGGAGGATCTTCCAGCCGGCGAAAAAGTGCCACAAATTTCTGTCCATTATTTCGTGTGACTTTCTGTCCCTCCTCCGTCTCGGTCCTCATAACCTCCACACACTCATCTGCTTCCTGCTCTGCTTCAGCCACCCTTTCAAAAGAAGGGTGTTTATCGAAATGCTCCACCATCCACAAATGCAAATCCTCAACGTCTGTAATGGTATAGATAATTCCTCCTGGACGAACCACGTACGCATACTCCGAATTCAATGTTGTAGACACGATACGAGCCTTGTGTTTTCTTGCTTTAAAATGGGGGTCCGGAAAACAGAGAAAAATCTTCGATAGTTGATGTTTCTTGAAGAAATTCGGCAAGAATTTCATACTGTTTGCTCGTAGACAGGCAGCATTCTGGTATAGTTTCTCGTCGGCAGATTGACTTCGAAGCGCTTTGATTCTTTCCTGGACGTATTCTGTTACTTGAGTTCGAATTTCCATTCCTGTGAGTTCTGTGTTAGCTTCTAAGACATCTCACTCCGATTTAGTATTTACCTAGTAGCAAGGTATTCGGAAGTTTGGGGGCGAGCGCAACAAGCAATCCTCCAAAGCCACATCCGATATCTGCCACCTCCACATCCTGTGTAAGCTTTCTTGAGTCTTCCTCCTCAATCGCAGTGGTTTGGGCTTCTTTCTCGCCTTCGTCGTTGGGCCTTTTTACGCCTTGGGACTCCACCGTGCCCTTTACAATAGACTTGGTGGGTTCTGCATATGGGGCATAGTAGGGTGCCCATTTCATGTGGGCTGGACTGATTGGGCTACGGAGAATTAGTTGATACTCGGCGAGATTTTGTTCAAAATGGCTTACTATTCCAAATCATGGTCGGAGAAAACATTGGCATGTGCCCGCTGTCTGTAAAATTTCTTCTTGGGGAGCTCCGTCGTAGTGCCCTTTTCTCTCGAATTCTTATATTCGGCTCTCTTCTGGCGTTTGTTCGGTGGGCCAGCCATGGTGATTGAAGGTTGGGAATGGTGGGCGATGTGGAATTGGAGGGGTTGAGGAGAAGAGGAGGAGGGGAAAGGGACGAGGCTACTCGAGGCTGACGGAATATTTTTTTCACTAGCGAGACGTTATCGTAGAGCGACCAATCACAGTCTGTCTACTTGAACTGATAGAGACTGGGATCCCTGGGATGGGATGACGGGAACCCGGCACGCCGGACCTTACTGTAGCGGTACGAGTAGTGGAGGTGGAGATGCCTACCTGATACGCACTGCGCAGAGTCAGCGGCGTCATGCCATGCAAGCAAGCGCTGGATCCTTTCTCTTGGACATTCCCTCCCAAAGTCACCTCGCGACAATACAGTAACTTGCGATTCTTACATGACCTCTATTTATTCTTCATGCCCACTAGTCCTCGACATGCCAGAGCTCCACTTTCCTTTACTCCACCATCACTATCACTATCGCGATCCATCTCCATCTCTTCATTCCTGAAGGCGTCCAAGTCTGATTGCTCCACTTCATTCATTTTACCAGTACCAGCCGGAACCTTGCAACCATTGGATATTTACTCGGTACTCGTACCAGCACCATTCCAACAAGATCACATATCTTACCCCTTTCGTTTTCGCTTTCGCTTTCCCTCTCCCTCTCCCTCTCCCTCCGGTTTGCTACATAGGAGCAACTGCAACTGCACAAACACCACATTACCCGATGATGACTTGGTCCTCGATATTGCCAGAGAGCTTCTTGTTCATTGAAATATGGGCTGTTCGCATATTTGTAAGTTCCCGATTTACCAAGTAATCAGCCCTGCCGAATCCCAATTTCTTAACATTAATCGCAGCTTCTCCTCGGCTTCATAGCAATTGGTCCATGGATACTCTTGATAGTTTACGATGTACTCTTATACATTTTCCGAACTGCAACCTACGAGATACCATATGTTGGTGGGAGAGCAAGAAATCGACCGCGCCCTCGAGCACCCAGTCTTAGTGAACGACCCAGTGGAACCAGACGGAGATTCAGTCTTACTCTACCAGGAGCTCAAGCCCATACAATAAGTGACGTGGCAGATGCGGTGGATGGAGTCAAGCAGCGGATGCAGCGACCAGGGAATCAAAGGACCAACAGTAATGCGATTGATGAATACCATAATGAGGGAGCTACCTGAAGCATTCATTCATAGCCGTTCAAGTACTTTGATAAGATCTCCCGTTACTCCCATTGCTGTTACCTCTCCACCTGCGGCTGCTCCCTGGATAACCAAAGGATTTGCTCCATACCTTTTTGTGTAGAAGCTTATAATGTTGTCGCTTCCCTTAAGTGCTGCAATAGGATGTGATCGGTCGAAGTTCTCCAAGCCAACCTTAACCTCTTTCTTGCCAACATCAATGCTTCCGACAAATCTCACCACCTTGCCTTCTTTTTCCGCGGCAACCTTGGTCTCCTCCATCTGAGAATCAAATTCTGGAAGTCTCTGCAAGAATTCATCACCACTGGCCACACTCTCCAACTCCTTGGGGATCAAGCTTTGAACTGGGAAGGAAGTGGGTGATTCGACGGGTAGTCCAGCCAGTCTTGCCAGGATCGTCAGCTTTCTCGCAACATCCAATCCATTCAAGTCATCTCTTGGATCTGGCTCAGTATATCCCAGCTCTTTCGCCTTGGTCACCTCGGCGGACCACTTTCCACCCGAACCTTCCGTGGGCGCAAATGAGTTGAACAAGAATGACAATGTACCACTGAAAACACCCTCAATTCTTGTCACCTCGTCTCCTGTGTCAACCAGATCCTTCAATGTAGAAATGACTGGAAGGCCAGCTCCTACTGAACTCTCGTGGTATATTTTGGCGCCAGATTCAGAGGCTGAAGTGAAGATGTCCTGCCATAGCTTGTATGAGCCCGAGAAAGCTTTCTTGTTTGGCGTAACGATACTGATTCCCTTCGACAGGATGTGCGGATAGTTGTCTGCAACAGCTTGTGAGCTTGTGTTGTCAACGAGCACGACCTTCGCTGGGGCAGCAGCCAAATAATCGACAGCCTCAGTTAAGGAGAGGGTCTTCTGGGTTGAGCCGTCGAGTTTCGCAGCGAGATTCTCATATGGTAGGGCGGTGTATTCGGTACTGTAGAGGGATTTTGTACTTCGAGAAACGAAGATGAGAGATAACCTGGGGGAGGATGGCCTGGTTGCGAATCGTTTGGTGAGGTCTTCGAGTTGTGACAGGAAGCATTTTCCTACCCCACCAGCACCTGGATTTTGTTAGAAGTGGGTGCTGCAGAGACACCAGAGGGTGATGACGTACCAATAACAGCAACGAAGACGTCTCTAGTCGGTGCCATCTTCAATTGAACCTGAAGAGTTATTTTCGTAACTGGAGGGAATGGAAGGAGTTGTTGAGGAGGTCTTGAATTTTGGCTGTCGCGCTGCAGGGGCGGGGCTGTACTGTCACGTGACTGACTCCGTTGCAGGACTCGCTTGCAGATGATGTTATTACATGATCTCAAAAGGCTTACGCCTCTCGCGGTTCAAATAAACTCTTCGAAGCTTAATAATTGGCCATTGGCTATTTTTCTTTTGCCATATGGCACTTCGAAGCCTTCTACTAAATATGTTGTTAATTAATAGTACTTTTTCTCGAAGAAATACTGGTATAGAAGAGACCAGCGGACGATGCTGTGCGGGGTCAGAGTGGCCGATCTCGCTCCGGATGTCTGCCTCGCTCAGCACAACATCATCCATTGGATGTGTCAATTCCAATAACTTCATACAATGCTTCACCTCTGAACATAACGGCAAGGTTAATCAGAAGGTTTCCGTAACGGACGAGGAAAGAGGCTATCATTACCCGAGTCTTTGAGGCCTTTGTGTCTCGCTTGGACGTGTGTGTGGTTTGAATAATTCATCGTCTTGCCGTTTCTCATTCCGTTCACTTCGTTTACAAGTTCATGCTTTTTTGGAGATAGTGGCTTCTTCTCCGGCAAGAGATAAGTGCTTTGGTACCTCACTTGTGATGGGGAATGTCTTCTCGGGCTTTTGAAAGATTTATGCACTGCGCTTGTGTATTGGAGGGGGAGTGTTACCAGAGTGCAGAACTTCCTTTCGATTGGGCGATTCCGGGAGTTGTGGCAGTTTTGGAGGCTTTAATAGGATTTCATATTGTTGCTTTGCGACTTGCTTCTTTTCTTCAAGGGCTAGGTGGTTGAGAGCTTGTGGCTTCAAGTGGCAGTGAGTGCGTAAGTTTACGCAGGCGAAACTTTTCACCAATGGCTACATAATTTCGCGTTGTCAGAGATGACGACTATCAACCTTACCTTTTTTGTCTTGAAAGATAGTTAATGACTATCAAATGCGCAGCAGCAACAGAACACAAAGCAAAACACGCGAATGTGGTCATATGTTTTCAACTATTGATTCTCAACGCAGACACTCGAGTTCGGGATTGGATCCTCCAATGTGTTTCCCCCTCAAAAAGACTAGAACAGCGAGAGGCTCAGATCACTTTCCTTGCCTTGTTGAGAGCGGTACCTACTGATAAGGTAGGGCTATCTTTTCTGATCCTTGAACGGGACCTCGATGACAATTCGGAAGATCTTGAAGCTGATCTTCTCTCCAATGTGGCTCGCAGGCTTTGAGTTCGGGATCTGAGATCAATATATCTCATGTTCGCAATTGCTTGCTCTTCTCGGTCAAGATCGATTTCTTTCTGCCTCAACTCAAGCTCTTTTCTCTTCAGCGCAAGTTCGCTTTCAGCATTAGTGATCTCTGCTACGTAGCGCTCTCTCGGCGTCGTACAGTTGCTCTTCGACGTCCTCCAGGAGTTCGCTTTCGTTTGAAGAGGTCTTATCTTGAACGTGTGCCGGAGAATGAGATTCAATCTCTACTGACGGTTGCAAATTCTCCTGGGGCCACCCCACAGTTTTGTCTATCTGTTCATGCCGGAGTGGGGACATGCTCATCGGCTCATCTTCTTGGTTAAGGATGGATTCGCAAGACTTGCCAACTTTGCTGTATTTTTCAGCGACGAGTCTATCTTTAAGTCTCGGTTGGCTTAAATTGTTCGAGTTGTCTACAAAGACCTCTTGGCCCTCGCCTTTGAAATCCCACTTCGCTGGAGGTTCGATGGAAGCCTCTGTGACTTCGTTGTCTCCTATATTGGAACACACTTCCCAATGTGATGTTTCCCATTCCTGGTCGGTATCATCTTCAATATGGTCGATCCGAGTCACTTGTTGGCCATGATGCATTTCTGGCATTTCTGGCCACTCTTCATCAAAACCGTCGATCTTGTCTGTCGCAGATGCAACGACCGGACACTGGCTTTCAGATTGTCGCACATAATACCAGCTTTCCAGAATCTTCATGGCGTTCCAAGGAATTGGTAGCGACCATCTCTGTGTAACAATCTCGCGGATAAACTCGCCAGTCTTTTCTGCGCAATTTCTCACCCTTGCACTACCTCGAATAAAGATGTTGCGCATTCGCAGTCCTTTCCCCTTGACAAGATACAATGTCAATCTTTGTTGCATCTTCGTGAGGTGATGGAGTCTGATTCATCCATCCGGATGTCTTTCTCGTCCGTATTACACTCCCAATCGCTATCGAAAATAAAGAGATCTCTCCCCCTCCCACCTAACGGCCTAAGAACCGCAGCCCAAGTCTGCCAGGGTCTTCTCTTCCAGACTGAATCATGCCCCTCATCCCAGCTATCGTCAAAGGCATTGAAAATCGCAATTTTCTGTGCCCATTCGATTGTCACTTGGGGGCCCTTATGCCAGTCCACGAAGCATTTGAAGCTGCGAGCATCATGAAAGCCTCGCCATTTCTTCCTTGTTGACCTATTCTGAAACCCAATGGGGTCCAGCATTAAGTCCCAGTCGTCGCGCTCCTGAACGTGTGAGTAAGCGAGGGCTCTCAGGAACCAACTCTGTTCGCTTGCATTTGAGAAGCCGTATAGACGAGGTGGCTCTAATGGATTGTCGCGCGTGATCTTGTTCTCTTCCTCGATGTTACCATCTTTTTTGGGCCCGACCATTCTCAATCCTGTATTCTTGGGCCATTTGTACTCTTCCCCCTCAGGGAGTCTTCTCTTGAGCCGGGCAATCTTTACCTTTGCCTTTGCCATCATTGCTGGTTGGAGAATTCGGTTCGGGTAATCCAATGATATAATTTTGATGGAAAAGAGAGATGGGTTCTTCCTGTGAAAAAAATATCTGTTTGATTTTCTTGAGATGCGGTTCTTTGCATTAGTGCCGCTGCATGGGTGTCCCGTTTTGTGATGTGTGGTTGACGATAATGGTTGTTATATTTTCTTTTTCCTTGGGTTCGCCTCTACTGTATTGTATGATGGACGTTCCACCACCGTTTGAATATAACCGACATTATCGTACTTTTCTTGATGGTGTCTAATCTTCGTGATTTTAGTTCTGGATTTCGCGTACGTGCTGAAATTTTTGTTTAACTCAAATACTGTTATTCGGAAAGAGCATATGGGGCTCATTTTAAAAGGGTGGGTGTAAGGCTGGGGACTCGGCGTTTGCTGTTTGCTCTGGCTTTCGGATGACGAGCGAAGTTGCAGCAATGCAACTGCCCGTCTTTTTTCCTGCTGATGGGCTGTGATAGCCACGCTTTTTTTTGGTACGTGTGATATCGGTATTTTGTTTGTTATATTGGGCGGATAATTTATCCTAAGCGTCTAGGTCGTTATCAAGCGTCAAGATGAAAACGTAACACTATAATATAATAGAGTAGACTTGCATAAGCAGAACTTAGGCTCAAGGTCTTAAACTTTTAAGAACTGGCGTTGTTTATATCTAGACTTTCTAGGTTTTGTTGCATATCGCACTTTTGAACCAGTTTAAAACAGTCCAAAAAAAGGTTTCTGAAGCTCAGTTTAGATATGACTTTTGGAAAGCAACTCCGCTTCTAAAGAGGCCCCCAAAACCGTTTGAAATTGCGATATGCAACAAAAGTTCTGCTTATCAATTTGTTGCACATCGCACTTTTAAATCAACTCAGAAATGGGTTTTGAAGCTCAGTTTAGATTAGACTTTAGAAAATAAAACCGCCTCTAAAGAGGCTCCCAGAGCGTATTGAAATTGCGATATGCAACAAAAGTTCTGCTTATGAATTTGTTGCACATCGCACTATTGAAGTAGCTCAAAAAGTAGTTTCTGAGGCTTAGTTTAGATATAAGGATTTGGGAATTAAGCCCGCTTCTAAAGAGGTTCCCAGAGCGTATTAAAATTGCGATATGCAACAAAAGCCCAAGTTGTCAATTTGTTGCATATCGCGCTTGGGAACTAGCTCACAAGGTGGGTTTGGGAGCTTAGTTCAAATAATATGGCTTTGGAAAGTAAACCCTTTTTGAACCCGCTTCTAAAGAGGTTTCCAGAACGTGTTGAGATTGCGACATGCAACAAAGATTGCTGTAAGCTTGTGAATTTGTCGCACATCACACATTGTTTACGATATCTCAGTAACTCCATTTGACGAAGAATTGATTGACTCGTAAGAAGCATGTCTGGAATAGCTGCAAACGTTTAAGAAGTATGCGGAAATGTAAGCATGATCATAGAAATAAGATTAATAAGTACTGAATTTAGGGGTCTAAGAATTGGACAGAAAGTTACTCGATGGATGATGAGGAAATACCGTTATATACTACGCAATCCTTCTACTCATACGGAGGAATGACATGGAAATGAGCCACTAGGTATATGTGTCCGAGGGGTTTGAAAACTATTTTTATTGGGGTTGGGAAAGGGGCGCATTGGAGCGAAAAAGCCACATGTCAAAGACGAATTATGGGGACCTATTATGGCGTCGTGGGTTTGAGGTGATGGACAGAGGTTTGTAGCTAAGCGAGACCACTGATTTACACATGATGAATCTCAGACTGTTGCATACTTTGATAGTAGCGGAACTTAGAAAAGCACGAGAGTCTTATTGAATATTTTAGTGCTGCTAACCTGTGAGCTTTTGATATATCGAAACTGAATGTACTATAGACGTGTAACTATATATTTCGTTCACCTTTCTTCTTACAGTACTATCCCATACCTCGCTACCGAAATAAAGAGATCGATTGTTGATTTAATCATCACAATGGCAGCCTGAAAAGCTCTTGGGTGGGCTTGTCAACTTGTTATCGAGTTTCGGAGTGTTGAGAAAGGCCTTGTAATACATATGGTCTCTGTATACACATATGTAGGTTGGAATAGTATTCTACTAAAAGCCTCGTATAACTAAAATAGATGTGTACATCGTATAGGTAGCGTAGAATGACTATTGCTTTCTATAGTCAATAACGTATGTATACTAAGATGCTTGCATCACTTGTGCTAGAGGTCTAGTATTATAAATCTTTGTAGCAAGCATGGAGTGATACCTAGGTCTCTTATGAAATTAACTTTGTAGTATAGATGTTATCTGGTGATCAAAGTTTTAATGGATAAACTAGAGAATCACGTATTAAGGAGTACATTCATTTAACTTAGTAACCCTTGGAACTTACGAGCTATTATCTTGAAGTTCTTTTACTAATATTTCACACTTTGGTAAGCCCTCTGGGAAATCGAGGCCAGATGTGTACGAAAATATCTGACACCCGCCGCGGGCCGTCCTAGGGTATAAAACTATCCCTAGCGCGTATATTTTCGTATACCAACAGTAGGCGCAAAACCTTAAATATCCTACTAAAGACGTAGTTCTTTATCTACGAGTTTACGCGTTTACTTGTTTATAGGCAGGGAAGGGAGAGAGGCGGGGGTATAGGGGTATTATAGAAGGAGAGACTTATAGGAGGGCAAAGTAGAAAAGTACTTACAGAGAGGGATAGAGGGGGAGGGATAGGTAGAGAGGGGGAGGAACAGGTAGAGAGGGGGAGGGACAGGTAGAAACAGCTAAGTACTTACAGGTAGGTAGGGAGGGAGAGGGACAAGTGAAAGGCCAAGTGCGAAGTATGTTTATTCTTCGCTTGTATTTGGGAGATACCTACTTACTATGTTATTTCAAAGTCACGAAAACTGTCACCCAGAAAACATCCAAATATCGTCAAGAATATCAACTCATTAATCATTATCGTGCCCTATTGGTACATCAAAGAAGAAAGATTTTGTTCTATGTACGTACGGGTATTGATTCATCATCAGCGGCACGCTCCCCTCGAATTATTGTGACAGCAGCAAAAAGAAAAACAACGCCCAGGAAATACACAATCTGCTATCCAGCGCAAGAAAAGAGCCCGCACCCGTATACTCCGCCTGAGGTGCCTCCGTACTTGTACCATTCGGTCGTTTCTGCGAGAAACCAGGAAGAGGTACCGTGGAAGACATCGGGTCCTCCGGGTCCTCCTCCGGATGCGTGATTTCACGATAAAGCTGACGCTCACCGAAGGTCGGCAGGGACGTGATGTCTTTCTGCAAGGTCATGTCCTGGGATCCGACTGTGAAGTTGAGACTGGGGAGTTCTTTGAGATCTACCTCTGTACCGTCCAGCTGTCAAGGAATACATTAGCATATGAGCGGCGAAGGAAAAGAATAAAGTATGGTTGCAGATCTCACCTTTTGAACTCTCCAATCCAGATTCTCCTTCAAGTATTGCTTTACAGCAACAGCATCACCAACATCAATATCAGCATTTTCGACTACCTTCGTAAGACTGATTTCATCGTAAACTGGCATAAATGGCCAGTCCGTAATGTTTTTGAGAGGAGGAGGCATGAGATGCATACTGTCCACTCGAGTATCGGTAAATGGCCATTCCGCTGGATCTTCAGGCACACATCCTACGAAGATGCTAATGACGAAATAGGCTCCTTTGAGCTCATATTTGTTGACCTCGATGCTCACAGCCCATTCTTTGGTTTCTTCTCCAGCAGTTCGGCTAGGCGTGTTATATCTGCGGCGAGTAGCAGGAGCCGCGGGCGGGGGATTACTGAATACCCCGTTTGGATCGTATTTTGCGTTGACTTGTGCTGTGACGTTGGCTCGGAGGGCCTCCGGGGTTTGATTCCAATCTTCGATTTCCGGCCAGGAGTAGCCGAATATGGAATATTGGTATGCTGCTGCGGAGGTGTAGACGCTCCCCTGAGCATTTGCTGTAAATGGGTATAAGGGTGTGTCGGTAGAATCAATGTTTCCGAATGGAATTGACATGGTTCCTATAAGATTTCAAAGTCAGTATAGCCTTTTGAAGAGTATCTCGAGAGTGGACAGAATATGAATCAGTGAGACCGTGTTAAGGGACATAACAGCGTCTTGGCTCCATGATGCTTAAGAGAGAAGTTGGATTGGAAGAATTGGAAACTCACCAGCTTCACCGCCGATGGGTGTCATCAAATTGCCAGGGTTCATCGCCATCCAAATCGCATAGAGTCGGTCGATATTACAGTGGAATACCCAAAAGATTGGGTCAAACGCAGAGTATTCCGTAGGCCCCATTGTACCAAATGCACCTGCGATGGTTAAATGGATTTCATTGTGAACCCATTCAATGGAGGTTCCACCTGCTGCAGAGGTCGCGAATTCGTTGTACTGCGTGTTCTTGACGAGTGCATCCCACTAACACCATCATTAGCCTCAACAACTTATCTTGAGGTTTTCTGAATGTGCCTTACGGTTCTTTGCATTAAATTTGCTTTTCCCAATAGATCGTTGATAATATCCGGTCTGTTTCGTCCATCGGGGGCATTAGACTCCGGCCGTCGAGAAGTAGTTGGTCTTCTTGCTATCGTCTCAGGGAAGTGAGCTACTTCCAGTGGCTTTTGCCATGTGTATTGATATAGTGGATTGTTAACGGTCTGGACTCCAGTGGGTGTATTGATTTCTACGGTTGCCCCATTCATGACTGGAGGCATCTGAGGAATTGACGCGAAGTCCCAGAAAGGGAATCTCAGGTTGTCTGCAGCATTTTGGTAAACTGCCTGATCTGCTCCAGTATATTGCACGGCAATAGTCTGAGCCCATGAGGCCATAACTTGCTGCTTGTATTTAGCGATAGTTGAGAAACGGGGAAAGCTGAACTAACCTCAATAAGCACCATGTAAATAGTGTGCCAGCTGAGAAACAAAACAGATCCTTTTATGTGTTTTAGCAAAGCCCTCTTGACCCAGCAAGCTGCAACGAACCATGAGGACAGTAACCTTTCCACCAGTTAAATTGCGCGTCAGCGTACTGGGCGAAGTTATTATATGGTACGAAAGGTCTGCCATGAAGACCCGCGATCCCAAAAAAAGACAATTGCTGGCCCTCGTCAACAGCTTGCATAGCAGTGAAAGCTTGTATAAACAGTGACCTGAAGAAGACGTGTGTCAGTCAGGTGACAAATCGGAACCAATGGGATGTAGGACAAGCTTGCTCGACTTACCAGGCGGGTATATCGTTTTGAAGATCGAGAAGATTCCTCCTTGCTGGGCGCGCTCCCTCCGCGGTGACGCCAGTCTGAACTCCAGTCATGGCGATGTAGCTATCATCAGTTTGCGCGTGCGCACTAAGCCCGAATAGAGGCAGAGTGACGGCTAGCCAGTTTATCCAAAGGATGAGATACATCTTGGTCAATTGTTGTTGAAGATGACGAAGGTTTGAAGGGGGCGTCCGCGTCTTTAATCTCAAAGCCAAAAGTTTGAACCTAAGAGCGAAAGTGAATTGGTCGGTCTCGGTTCGGCAAGGGGACGAAACAAGCCGACTTGTTCATCAAGAACGAGCACTTATATTGCGGCTAAGGCCAAAAATAGATGCAGAAAGGACCTGCAAAAAGGGGTGCGACCATATGAAGAAGAGATGAACTTGATCTTGCAGGGTTTCACCATGCACGTTGAAATTAAGAGTGAGCTTAGGGAATATCCTGTAATATCTGAAGACTGAAACAGCAAGCTTCGTTTTGTTGACAAAGTCACTGGCCGAGTAACACCTATAAGCTTTTAATGAAATATGTATAGCTCTCGGATTGGGGGGTATTAATCATTATTTACTTACCTTCTTACCGTAAGCAACAACTTGTTTCTAGGTTGAACATATTACCACTAGATCTGCTTTCCGTCTATGCTCGGCAATATAATACGTTTTTAATCTGCAGATGTTACACAATCTATATTCACAAAAACGGGAACGGGAACGAACTCCCCACTAAACGTTAAGCTGGAACACTAGACAGCACGAAATATAAATCTTCGAAAGTGCTCCCGAGAGTTGCCAAACTTGGTAAAACCCTTGAAAAGCACTCACATTGAATAAGAAAAGCGGGATTGAATAGTCTCATAGTTCCCATCCTCTCGAATAATTCGTGGTCGTCCTAGCTGTTCCACATCATAAAACAGATTGATCAAACGTACTGAAGATCATCCAAGTGATCAACACAGGTGATCTGTATTAATAAGCTTATTGACCCAATGAAGACAGAGCAAAGGGATACTTACTGCCGTATTTCTTGCTAACCTGTAGGTAAGGCACGGTTCATGGATCGACATCGTTCCTCCATGATCGTCCAAATGCTGGTAAAGTTTTGCATTTTCGTGTAGTAATATAACTCAAAGACGATAGTGTTTTGCATGTTGACCGATACGAACGCAACTTGCCGTTGGGATGCATATCCTGACTTTATATATTGTTGGGTCGTAGGTAGGTCTACGAAGATAAATTGATTAAAGCTCCGAAAGCTCCGCTTACCCGGGAAACCTTACCGGCACTGAGAGGAAATTGCGTAACACTTATACTTCATACTTCGTAATAAGAGCATGATCCGTACGCTTTGAACTGTCAGCAAATGAAAGGATCATCAAATATGTAAGAAGTAGAAAGAGACATTGGCGGACATTAGACTATGATCCGAATCGGCCTTGTACGGCCAGGTGCAGCGAATTCGCATTTCGCTTCGCGTACCCATATTTCATGTAGTTGAAAAGCTCTGAAAATCCGGTGTTTCTTGTTGATCCTGCCATGTTACTGTAAGGTACTTACTATGCAACTCTTGCTAATACTTCGAAGTACTTCTGGTTTGGTTATGTAGCTAATTTTGGTGCTGTCGCAGGTAAATAGGTCGTGGTACTGTACGAGTGCAAAAGGGCTCAGACATGCCGGAGTGGGCCCGCAATTCCGTTGCTCCGCCAAGATTGAGACGTCTTCAGCTATACAAAGCTACAGTTGATTATAGAAATTAATTTATTCTGCAATTGGATCTTGTCGAATGATTTTGTCTTTGGAGAAAAGTATCAATTGAGAGTGGCGAATGGCAAAAGCATGGCAAGCCTTATCTGCGGGTGCATCGTTTTGCGTTCATAGAAGATTGGAGTGGCTTAGATCTCTTCTTCTTGAGAACCTTTCCCTCTGAGAGATTACTTGCGAGTCCCAAAGAGGCTGATGACGGAAGCCCTCTCATTTATTGCAGTTGCGGGTTGAAAGTTAGCATGTTCTATCTATTGCATATTGTTAGTTTTGCATTTTCTCGTACGAAGCCCAGGCTAACACCACGAAACTCGTTTCTCAGAAAAGTAAGATTGCATTAAAAGGGTGTATGGAAAGAGCATTTTAAACATACCTGTTAGCGAGGAAGCTGTGAGAGGAATAGCAACATAGAACATCTCAAGATGATTGAAGCACGCCGCCCCGAGGATTTTAATTTAAACATGCCGCGTAGGTGAGAAATCAAGAAGTCATAACACCTGGCTAGTTTCGCGATTGAGTTTGTACTAAGGGATAGGTACGGCACACGAGATACTGTAAAAGTCATCCAGGACCCATCCGCGTTGAACGTTGAAAGATAGTTTGTGGACGCAGAAGGAGCGTGCTCAACTTCCGAACAAAATGTGACCCAAGCGCAAGTGATCTCCATTTTTTGCTGAATGGGGTCTAGTGCTATGCAATGGTTGAAGCTATTCAGGCTTCCCGCATGCGACCCACCAGCCCCCGCCAGTAGAATCGTGGTGGCCACTATGGATTGCCTTTTTCGTGTTTCATTTAATTGTAAGTTTTCTATAACTTTCTGCTCCAAATAGCCTCCATGGGGCTTACTGTCTAAGATGTTCTTTTGGTGCTACTCCGGCAGCATCCGCAGCTCTGCGGTTCTGTAAGACCTTTGATATTTGAGGCCATGAGAATCCGTGATGTGACGAAAGAGAGCTTCTTCAGAAACTCCACAGTTGGACTCTTTGGGCCGCAGAAATACTTATCACTGTAAAGTCAAGTTCAAAGTGCATACATAGGTAAAAAGGTTCCATTAATTTACTACATTTCAAAGTCAAATTACGTATACAGGTAGAAAGGCTTCATTACTCTACTTTATCCCAAAGTCCATAATTTCAAACGATCCGGTGTTGCTTACGCGGGTTGCTTGCCGAGTCGTTAGAGCTAGACAGGGCCCGATCTCTCTTGCCTGTAGAACTAGAATTTGTGCCTAGAGTGTTAACAGGAGTAAAGGAGAATTCGATATAGATAACCTACTAGGTACGGATTCAGTATCAGGGGGGATGTTCCTTCTACTATCAAACCACTCTTGGATATCGCATCCCTTCCGGCCAAGTTCGAGATATTCCTGCAACTTTCCAATCTCATCTGGTGCCATAGCATGTACGGAAGCTCGTAAAATCATTTCTACATCGTAAAATGACTTCGAGCGCTTCTTGTCTTGATCGGTGATCGAATTGTCAATCATCCATTGAGCCCATGAATACTTATGCTCCGGATCGAGAGTTGGAGGCATAGGGCGACGGTAGAAGGCAAATTCCTGTGGAGCAAAAAGACAATTAGCGTATTGTAGATACGGGTAGGATAAATTTGCTAAGCGAACAAACCTGGAGGGAACTTACTTGTTGCAAGCGCGCCTTTTGGTTCTTCAAAGCAATTCTGACCTTGCACTCCGAAAGAGAACGGATCGTATGATTATACGTAGGATTACTGAATCCCAACTAATGTAGAAGAGTATTATACCGTGTAAGGACCTGAAGGTCTTGCGTGTTTGTAGAACCCAATTTCGGTCTGAATACGTTGAATCTTTGTGAATTGTCGTGTACTCAATGAAATTGGTTGTCTCCGAAGTAGAGACAATAGAGCTATGCCATCAATTGTATGTAACGCTACTTCAGACGGCAATCCAAAATGATGTTCCTTAAGGCGAAGTGCATCCTCATTACGCAGATCCTTGTAAGGTACACGGAACCAGGTTCCATCGTGCTGCTGTACATCATACTCGAGTGGTTCTCTGTTTGGGGAATCGATCGTATATGGGGGAGATGGGTAATCGAAAGTTTGTAGATGCCAAGAGTATGGGCTTCAGAGTCGTTCTCTGGTGGAGGAGGACAGTTGATGAAGGCTGAACCAGAAGCTTTTGATCGCCTTGGAGGCGGCATATTGTTGCTTGTTCATATGCGTAGTATTGTGAGTGTTTTGTTATATGTGAACAAGCTAGGACAGGAAGCACACTTTAGTCAGCAAAAAGTAATATACCTAAAACCTTACCAAACAACGGTAATTATGTAAAAAGGAATAAGAATATACCTACCTAGGTAGGTACTTAGAATGATAACTTACTTAATGTGAGAAATAAAGTCTGTTAATATAGGTAGTATAAGATATATACCTAGTATACGAGTAAGTTTATATAATTAAGAAATAAATATTTATAAGAGAGACGGGTATTACTCTATAAGATATATACCTAAGTTATAAAACGTTATCCTAAAGACCTTATATAACTAAATTAATTACTTATTAACTTCGGAGTATATGATAATTAAGTCTTTATAGTAATACATTATATTATAATTATAAAATAACTTTTCAACTAATTAGGATTTAATTAGTTTTGGATTAAATCTTTTTTTTCGACTTTTTTACTCTCTCGCTAGAAGGGTTAGTAATACTAAGCCGGCGCGATACTAAGCTAGCGGTTCTGGATTAAATAATTAGTAACTTAATAATTAATAGTCGGAATAATCTAATTCAAATTCTAATATTATGTCACGAATCACGTGTTACCACGGGAGATAGTGAAGACCAGGAGGCGCCCTGACAGGTCGAGCATTATCATAACTCTTATAGCAGAAGGGGATCCTTAGGCTAGCTAAGCGATCCATGGATTTCGTCGGATTAAAGTACCACGTGACCATGATCGCTTCAGTCGCCTGAGTCGCCTGTCGACTGAAGCGACTGAGGCGAGCGACTAAAGCGATTAGACAGAGAACGAAGGTTCTATATAAGACTGGCACGTCTGCCATTTAGATAGGAGCTTCGTGCTCAACTTAGTTATCAATCTTATCATATTAGTTTGACATCTTTGATACAAGTAACGAGTTCACTTCCAAGTGAACAACCCGATAGTCTTCTTCTTATCATAGCATACCAACCAGCGAACACCCAGCCAAGTTTAGTTAGCCAGTTTGAGTATTCGTTACATATTATTAGATAATTATAAAGTAACAGATCTAAGATTAAATAGTATTTTTAATAGTTAGTTATTATAGTATATATAATTAAGTAGTAGTTAGTTAGTAGAGTTAGTAGTTAGCCTTACTAACACTAAATAATATAGGGTATATAGTCTACTACTAATTACCTAAATAGACTATAAATAGATATAATAAATATATATTTATATAACTAGACTATTTAATTAATTTAGAACTATTAGGAAAATAAGTAATTATATTCGAATTTAGTTTCTATTTAACTATAGCTACTAATAACTTAGGGTTAATATTTATATTAGGGTTAATATTAGCGAGCTAGTTAATGGTCTAAATAGCCTTATTTTATACTATATTTTAACCTTTATTTTAACCCTTAACCTTAACTTTTAGTAGCCTCCTATATAGCTTTTTACCCTAAGATATAAGATCTTATCTTTTATATACCTTTTCGGCTTTCTTATACTTCTTTCGAAGTCTCCTTTACTTCTTATTATACGCTCTCGTCTCGTCTTTTTCGAGCCTTTCTCGCTTCTTAGCTAATTTATCCTTAGCGCGCTTCTATCTCGCTAGCTTATTATTAGCCTTCTTTTAGATAGATTTAACTCGTTTTACTTCCTTTTACTACTCCTTCTTAAGACATCCTTTAGCTCTTATAAACTCCTTTATTACCCTCTTTAATTCTATATATTCGTTCTTCTTATAATAAGTTTATATATCTTTTAATCCCTTACTCGAAGTAAGTACTTTACTTCTATTACTTCTCTTAACGTGTTTAGACTAGTCCCTTTTATTAATAATCGGAACCTAAAAACTATAAAAGTCTTTCTTATTAGCTCGAATAAGTCGTTTAGATACTACTCTATATTAAATAGTAATTATTTTAGCTCCTTTATAAAACTTATTATTATAGTATACTCGCGTAGGAGACGATATTTTATATTTATACTTATAAAGGAAGTTAGAGTATAAGTAGATTCCGCGAGTATTCTAGGGGATATATATAAAGGGGGTATTTTTATACTATTAAGGATTCTCTAGATGAGCTTATATATATCCTAACTAAGGATATACTTATAAATAAAATAACTAAAAATCTTCCGCGGACTAAATTTAAGAACTTTATTTAGCTAATTAACCTTTAAGATAAAAGCTCGCTTACTAGCTTACTTAATTAGGAGTCGTATAAAGTTAACCCTAAGCTTTAAGAGTTACTTAAAATTAGAATCGAATCTACTCTAGCTAAGGGGTAATATTACTTAGAGTATAGTATCCTTATTTTAATAAATTTAACTTCTATTGAATCTATATCTTTTTATTTATTAATTATTAAAAACTTATAACTATTATAATTATAATTAGTACTTTTTATTTATATTATTTACCTAGGGAATATACCTTAAGATGTAGTTACGCTCTCTAATCTAAGTCCTTTAATAAAGGAATACTACTAGAGTTATAATTAAGGGCTATATATAGCTTAAAGAAGACTTCTTTCTTTATTTAGACTTTCTTTATATAGATACCTGTTTTTTTATACTTTTACTAACTTAAGTAGTTAGTACTTATTTACTATAGTTTTTATAATAGCTTTAAATAAGTTATTATTTATTACTATTTTTATAATAGCCTTAAATTTATTTATAGAGGAATAGTAAAGTACTTTATTTAATTTATTTCTAGGGTATTATCTACTTAAAATGCCTTTAAAAATTACTATTTATATTTAGTTATTACCTTTAGTAGCTAGACGTTCTCTTAACTCCTTAATAGTACTACCTAAAGCTAGGAACTTAGTCTTAATATTATTAAAGGGCTTTACTTCCTCTATAAGTTTAGTATTAGTTTTTATAGGCGTAATAGTATTGTTTCTAGTAGTACTAGTTCTAGAAGACTCCCTAAATTACTTTCTACTAAGTACTATTATAGTAGGATACTCTTATAAGTAAGTAGTAATAAGGATATTATTAAGCTCTTTATATCTATAATACTCTAGTACTTAGTTAACTATAGTATAATATCTCCTAATTTATTTATCTTAAAAGTTATTATAATTTAAACTAAGATTTATTAAATATCTTACCTAGATTTTCTATTAGAGCCTTAAGGTTTATAAAGAATACCCTAAAGCTAGAGTATAAAGGGAGTATAGAGTAGTAAGAAAGGTTCATAGGTATAACCTTTAGAGTACTAGAAGTAGCCTATACCTATATATATACCTAAAATATTATAATATATACCCTTATCCTTATCTTCTCTATATAGTATAGCTTAAGTATAACTAAGGTAAGGAGTAATATAAACTTTACTTTATTAGTATACTCTTCTTAATTAGGATAGTATAGCTTTAGGTATATATAAATAGGTATAAACTTAACTATTATCTTCTTTAAGCTCTTTTTAAAAAGTTATAATAATAAGTTCTTTTTTAGCTTTCGTATTCTTACTACTAGGAGGTATAAAAATATTAGAAAGATCGACTCTAAAGGGATTCTCTAAAACCAAAGGAACCTTAGAAAAAGGCGACGATATATTAGGAGTAGGAGTAGAAGTAGGCTTATACTTATACTTAGGTTTAGGTTTAGGTTTAGGTTTAGGCTCATTATAGCGAATAAGGCTATTAGGTAATCTAGTACACTATTTTATATATTAGCTAGGTAGGGTAACGCTTAAAAACTAGATCTTAGATCGTAGATATTAAGGCGTGTTTATAAGGTTAGAACTACTTATAATAAGGCTATACTTACGCCTATATTCGAATTTTTAGTAATATAAGTATTTGGAGTATACGCGATATAATCTACTTTAGACTAGTAGGATATAGTATTAGTATTATAGTATTATTATAGTAGTAGTCTAGAGGTTAAAGAAGTAAAGGCTAGTACTAGTATTACTCCTTTTTACTTAATATAACTACTTCTTTTATAATTACTTTACTCTTTCTATACTCCTAGAACTCGTTATAATTCCCGCTATAATCGGCTAACTATAAGGTAACTTATAAATGCTATAACGAATTCTTATCTCCCTATCTTCTTACTATAGAATTAGGTATTCGCGGGATCTCGAACTAGTATAAAAAGTAGAATATAGCTATTAGTTTAGAAGGCGAATCTTAAACTTTATACGAATTCTAAAATTTAGTTAAGGTAGCTATTCTCTATTAAAATAATTAACTAAGACCTCTATATTTAGTAGTATTAGAAAAGTATATAATATTATATCTTTCTAATCTTACTAAATATTATCCTCGACTATTACCCTAAGTATAACTACCCTAGTCGAACGTTTACTCTTAGAAGAATAACCTATTCGCTTTCTAAATTAGATGGGTATAATAGTACTTAACCTCTCTATTAAATATTACTATATTATAAAAACAATTTAGATATCTAGTAAGGAGAATCTACTAAACTATTATTATCTTAATTATTAAGATAGGTAAGGACCTTAGATATCCTACATTTAATTACCTTACTTACTATACTATAGAAACTACTATTGCTATTATAAGGGATAAGTTAATAAATATAGTAAATATAGCAAGTCTTAGTTAAGGTATAGATTCTTTATATTCTAATGATTTCTAATTATAGTATTCGCTTATATAAGAATTAAGTAGGAAGGCTAGATAGATAAAAAATAAGGTAGAGGAAAACAAGATAAAGGAAAATAAGGCGATTTAATTAGAGACCTATTTACTTTCTTATAATAAAGTAGGGTATCTTTCTTAAGTAAGCTAGCTAGTAATTAAGAGAATATAGTAATAAGTATCTATTTTAACCTTTAATACTAAGTAATATAACTAACTATAAACCCTTATACTAAATTATACATATATATAAAGTTTTCTAAGTAGTTTTATTAGATTACTTTAGAATTTATACTTATTAAATATAATAGGAATAAGACTCGCTTATTTTAATACTAGCCCCTAATAATAT